ATTCCTGGATGTCCTCGGTGAGCCAGGGGGGCTTTTAGGCACTCTTGCCCCCCTTGCTTCTTGTTGGGATCGTCACCCCTTGGGCCCTGAGTATCGTCTCCTTAAGGAACGACCACTCATCTTGGGCACTGAGTTCCCTTGCCCTGGAGAACCCCAGCGCCTCTCCCACCAATCTCAACTCGTTAAAGTTGGCCCTTTTGAAGTCTAGGGCTACTGCTTGCTGCAGGTCCTTGTCACCCTGCGCTGGATGATGAATTCCAACGAGCGATGATTGCTATCACCCAGGTGGTCAAGGACCTGGAGCCCCCTTACCAGATCATCACCTGTGGCCAGGACCAGGTCCAACAGGGCATTTCCTCTGGTGGGACTGCACCTCCTGGGTTAAGTGGAGGTCCTGTATCTTGGCCAGGAACTTCCTGGAACGATCCGACCTAGCTGACTGCTCCCAGCAGATGTCTGGGTAATTTAGATCACCCATGATAACTACATCCCTTGCCTTAAGTGCCTCTGCAAGCTGGCCCGAAAATTCCCAGTCCAGCCCCTCCCCTTGGTTGGGGGGGTCTATAGTAGACCACCACCGTTAAATCCCTCTCCCCACGACCCCCTTGAATCTTGACCCTGAGCGCTTCAGCTTGCCCCTCCGACCCCATTTTGCTGGCAGAGGATGTGTATTGCTCTTTGACATAGAGCGCCACACCCCCTCCCTTCCTTCCTTCTCTATCCCGCCTGTAGAGCCTATAGCCCCTAATGCTAACTGCCCAGTTGTGGGATGAATCCCACCACATTTCTGTAAGCTCTACTATGTTTGGGTTTGAACTGGCTATTCTGTATAGTGCTTTAAAAGTAAAGCTTACCTCTAACATGGCATTAGGACAACCTACAGCAGTACCAGTATCCAGTATTTCTGTGGGACCTCCCTCCTCCCTATCCTTCCTATGCATCTGACCTGTGTGGAGAGGAAAAAGGAGAGGGATGTTGATCCCAACCACTGTAGGCGATCAGCATTACCCCACAAAGTACTAGCTTGCTCAATATGATGGGGTAGCAGCATGTTGCTGCTGTGCAGGAATGTTCAAGCTGGCTGACTTACTCTTCTCCTTCACAGCAAGCACAAGCTGTCTGTGGAAGAAGAGCTGCTGGAAAAGCGGAGACGATACCAGGAACAGGTGGAATCTTTCCCCCCAGATCTTACTAGTACCAGTCCCCCCATTTCTTCTCTTCAAAAGGTTTCCACTAAAGCAAAACAAGATGACTGCTACAAGTCCAACATCAAGGAGGATGTGAGTGTGACTGAGAGTATGTGCCCCTGCCTTTCCAGAGACCAGCAGGATGTATCCAGTGGCACCAGCCATGCTGGGAATCTCTGCTCCAAAGACAAATCTCCAGCACCTGACAGTCCTGTGGCAGGTGTTGAGGAGGAAATGGCTGTTGTCCAGGGGGACCTGGAAGAGCAAATGCCAAACTTAGTAGTAGAAAGCCAGGTAGCAGGTGGAAGTGTCTGTGTCAATATGTATGGTAGCATGGAGGAAATGGACAAGAGGCCCTTTGTAGCTGTTGTGGGCATTTCAAAGACTGCTGCAGAAAGTGGGGCTCCCATTCAGCTGATCCCTTTGGGGAGGGAAGAGAGACTTGACAGACCAAAGGTTGAGGAAAAAGCTTTGAGCTCCAATGATCCTCCCCTTGAAGGGGACAGAGACAGAGGAGACTTGCAGGAATTGACGACTGTGGATCAGAAAGACACAGTGAAGCAGCAAGAACTGAGAAGAGCTGCAGAGAATGTCTCAGTGGTACTAAAGAGTGTCTTGGCTGAACGGGATTTGCTCCAATGCAAGGTAACTTTACCGCCAGGCTGTGAGTTCCAGTAGGGCAGGTAAGTCCCAACAGGGAATTGGATGGGGAAGATAAATCCCCACTTCTTACCCTCTGCTGTGAGGGAGGTAATGGTTAGGGTTCCTTCTGTACTCCACCTGGTTATCTGCTTTCACTTTGTCACTTGCATGCTGTCTATGTATCTTCACTTCCTGTTTCTTTAACTCAGGTGGAGAAACTAGAGCAGGAGAAGTGCAACCTGAGGGCAGACTTACTAAAAAGCCAACAAGAATTAGCATCCCTCAGAGCCCAGGATACTGAAGGCTTATACTGGAGCAAGAAACACATGGGTTATCGTCAGGCTGAGCTCCAGGAGCTGAAAGCAAAGCTGGAGAGGACCACAGAGGAGAAGACTGAGCTAAAGGAGAGACTCAGGGAGACGGAGATGCACCTGGAAGTGCTAAAGGAGGCGCATGTTTCCTGCAGGAGTCCAGAAAGGGGAGACTCAAAAAGGTCAGAAATGTGAGTTAACCTGCCGATGATATCATGGTGATGATGGGGGAGAATGTGGGTTAATATTATCTAGGAAAATAGCTTCTAGGAGTGCTTCTCTAAAGTTGAGGCCCTGAAGATGCTGTGTGAGTGACAGTGGATCAAAATGTAAGGGTTCATATGTTGTACAGGGAAGGGGATTACTGAATCCAAGGAACTGCCCAGTCTTGATGGGCAGCTCACACAGAGTCCCTTTTTCCAGTTCTGGGTTCTGTTCTGCAGGACATTGACTGTACAGAGCATTCCTGTTTCACTTACGCAATATTGGCTGCTTTAAGGAGAGGAAACTATGTCATGAGATAGAAATGCCCTGTAGGTACCAAACTCTTCTGCAAGCATGGGACCCTCCATTTTCATGATGATCTGACCTGTTAGGTCAGGCCTGTATTTTGATAAAACCTGTGTTCAGGGGGAAAAAAAACCTAACTTTGGGTTTCTTCCAAGACATAGACCCTCGGTGTGGAAAGTGTGTACTGTTGCCCCGGGTTCTGGAGGACTAAATGGCTCTGTTGAGAGAAAAGTTGACAGGAAGCTCATTGCAGAGCTGGCACCAGAGTTGCAGCCGCCTTATTTCTGGTGCTGTATGTTGGCCCCCAGAACCTCCTCTCAGATCATTCCCAGGGCAACACTGTCTTTGGGATGGAGCTGAGAGCCCCAGCTAAGGGAATTTGTTTTAGGAAAAAGGAGTTGTATTGGGACCAGTGCTTGTGTCTCTGATGTGTCTCTTGGCTTTGCTTTCACCTACAGCACTATGGAGAAGCTTAAGAACTTGCGTCTGAAGGTCACTCGGCTCCTCTCACTAGTACTCCCTCACCTGGAACTGCAGGATATTAACTTTGAGTCAGATCAAGTGGATGAGATCTTGCAGACTGTGCTGGAGACGAACCACATGTCAGAGTAGCCCATCCTACACACTGCCATTGTGCCTTTTTGTACAGCAGCTTTAATAAACCCAGAATTTCTTTTCCCACTCTGGGTCTTCTTTTCATTTCAGTAACAGTGAGGGCTTCCTTTTTCATTTCCTTCTAATGGCTCTATAGGCTTTTTAGCAGGAATTTGTGGAGATCAAATTTCACCCTCCTTGTATACTAGCCAGACTATATTTTGTTTTATTTAAAGCTGCTTTGGGGATTTGCTGGCTGATTTCTGGAAAGTCTTATCTCTGGATGGCTGTTCTCTCTTACACATTGCCTTGTTTGTGATAAATAATCTGGCAGGAGACCAGATTCCCTGAACTAGTTTTATCTTTCCAAGTTGCTATGGGGACCCCTGGTGACACAATGGCATTGCCCTGGTGTTAGTTTCACTGAAGAGTTTTGGAACTGTGTTGATTAATTATTTGATTCTTTCAGCAGATGGTACTTTGTGTAAGAACCACCTATTTGCCCAAACTGTCCTTTACATACATCTTATGTACTCCTCCTCATCCTCACATCCATGAAAGAGACAGCTTCAAAACCTGCCTTGTGTTATTTCTTACCCCCTTGGACTTGTTGTCGTCATTGTTTTTTAGCAAGAAATACAGACACTGTTTTGGTGAATGTTAATACCCAGAGAGGCGTCTTGCAGTTACAAGCCCTTTAAAAATATACAATTATTTTCCTACTTAGAAACAAATTCTTCTATTCTGGTAAAAGAGAAGGACATCCTCACATGTAGTATGAGGTAATTGGCCAGGCACAACATTGCTGCTTTGACTTGATTTAGATCATGGACTAGTTTATCCCTCAGAAAGCATTTGTCCAGTGCACCTGTCTAGTTTGATATAGGCGCTCTGTAACAGCCTTGCAGTGCACGCCCAGTCCAGGCCTCGGGGCGTATCCCCGAGACTTGGGTGTTGGGCTGCGTTCTACCCCGAGGGAGGCCCTGACACTTGCCTTCCATGACTTGATCTTTTGTTCAGTAGTAGGACTCTCCCTTGTGGAAACCCACAGACTGGGCACTGCCCGTTGCAGGTGTTCTTGGGGCTTCACCTCCTCTACACCCCAGCCATACGCCAGCCTTCAGGACGACCAGGTGATGGGCCACTGGCTCATTTCTTTGATGCTCGCTCCTGCTCTGGCTCCCTCTTGCCCATCCCTCAGTATTTGTCTTCGCCCCAGGTGTCTATGGGGTATGGGACTGGCCCTATCTCGACCTCCGCCTTGGCCCTATCTCCAAGCCATCAGGTTCACTGAGGTGGCCTCTACTCTTCTTCTTGACCCTCAGGGAAGTGTCCGCAATTGACCTGGGTTTGGGCTTCAATCAAGAAACCAAAGGAAAATAAGAAGAAAAGAAACAAACAGCAGGGGTCTGGGCCACAGCCCGCCCCCCTCACGGGTCCAGTGTCTGTAGTCGTCTGGATCCCTCGACGCTGTCCTCCTTGTCCCGGCTGTCCTGTTGAGCCGGGCATTTACCCTTTTAAGAGGGTTGGAACCCTTCTGGAGGGCTGCACTCTGAACTCCTGCCGATCTCCTAATGCGACGATCCTGGAGCCCAGGGCACTATGTCACGCTCTCCCCCGGGTCTTGCTGTCACCCCCTTTGCTTCCCCACCACCGGCTTTTAAATCTGCCAGGCAGCAGTTTTTGGTGATATTGCCCACCGGCGCTGCTCCCAGCTGCAAATAAAAGCGGCTGATGAACCGCGCCGGCTGTTCTTCTCGGCATGGCATGTCTCCTCCTGTTGGAGGCATGTAAGCCCCTTCCTTAGAGCTTTTAGGTTTTTTTTTCCTGGGGTTTTACCCCAGCCTCAGCTCTTGCCATGGGAGGGGTTCCCTGGGGTTCTGTTTGTATCCCCCTGGGACATCCAGATTTATGAAACCAACATTCTAATAGGTGGTAGCAAATGTCTGAATTTTGGTCCTGGAATTATACCACTTGCGGCTGTAAATCTGTCAGATCGTACCAAATCATGTCAAGCCAGGTCAGTATTAGACTGTGCAGACGCAAGTTCCTGAAGGCGTTCTATTTTGGAGCATCCTCGTCCGAACTTTCATGCAATGAGGCTTCAGATTTTCACAGGATCAGGCCCTTATGGGCTAAGTACAGATAGTTAAAGAGCCTGAGGCTGAATCAATTCAATCTTCACAGGTTAGTCTAAGCTGCATAGATTGAACTAATAAACAAGTGAGCAGACATTTACTTTTGATTCCGGAAATGCAGCCACGTGCTTGCAGTGGCTCAGGCCAGAAGCTGTGGTCAGAGCATACTAGAGCATGCTTCCCTGCTGGGCTGGAACTTAGGCCATGGCTAGCCAGCCCACCCTGCGAGAGGGGGTTTGCAAGGGAGGTGCAAAGCATCCTGGGATGCTGGGGGAATGTGAGTTAACTTGAATCTGGAGGGGATCTGGGACAAAATTTCAATAAACCAATTTAACCTAAATCAGTTAAGTCTGATACTACATCCAGGTTTATCTTAAACCATTTTTGGCCATTTTGAAAGTATGTTTATGTGCACTGAACTTCTGTTGTGTTACAGGGTAGAACCAGTTTCCACTCACTTATACTGGTTTATGTGTAATTTATGTCCCTAGCCTCTGCAGCTGTTTGGCCATGGCTGGAGAGCGCTTTCAAGGGCCTGATTAGCAGGGATCCGGGTTTTCCGTTTCCCATGGAAAAACAGGAAACCATGGATTTTACCTTTTACTAGAGGCAAATGCAGATTTCTTGTTTTACCAGAGAAACCCGCAAACTTGGCAATGAGTTCCCTGCAGGATGGCAGAGTTCCAACTTGCAGGGAGCGGGAGGAGGGCAGTGAGACAGGGGACGCCACGTGCATGGATATGTACGTGGCCCCCAGACAGCCTGCAGAGCAGCTACAGCATGTAAGCGGAGGGGAGAGGGGGATTGAGGCCTCTGGAGGGAGGGAAGGAGGGAGATGAGCAGGGCTGGGGCTGCTGTGCAGCTGGGTGGTGTTTGGGGCCCGGGGCTTGTCTGGAGGAGGGGGAGAGGGCTGGTTCCCTGCCACAGCGCACACTCCTGGGAGGCAGGGGGGACCTGTGCCCCCCAGATTTGTGCGTAGGGTGCAGACTTGGGCTCCCATCCTGCTTCCTTATTCCAGGGCCTCTGCAGCCCAGCGGGTATGACCTGGCACAGCAGGGAGTGGCGGGGCTGCGTGGGGATCTGACAATGCGCCCCCTGTGCAAGCCGCTGCTTTGAGGGGTGCAGCCCCATGCTGCTGCCCTCACTGCAGCCCTGATGCAGGAGGCATGTCACCAGGGCAGTGCAGAGCTCGCAGCGGCAAGATCTCCATGCGGCCCCACTGTTCCGTGCCACAGCAGGTTATGCCTGTTGGCCTGCAGAGGCCCTGCGGGAGGGAAGCAGGGTGGGAGCCTGAGTCTGCAGCCTGCGCCTGCCCCACATACAGATCTGGGGGGCACAAGTCCCCCTGCCTCCTGGGAGTGTGTGCGGTGGTGGGGAGCTGCCCTGCCTGAGCCCACAGCAGGGGGGAGCAGGAGCAGGAGGCTGTGGACCCAGGTCCGTAGCTCTGGCAGATGGGGGCCCATTCCAGCAGGGCTGGGGAAGCAGGGGCTGTGGGTGGGGGGTGAGGGGCATCAGCAAGGCTGTGGGAGCTGTGGAGGGGGAGTGAGAGGCACCAGCAGGGCTGGGGGAGGGGTTGTGGGGGGCCTTTAATTTTAATCTCACATTTTGGGGGTTTTATTAGAAAATTTGTGAACGTTTTTTTAGTGGAAAATTTGCAATTTTTTTATCAGGGAAAACCTAATAGATCTGGCTTCAACAATCAAGGACAATAAAAAGTCCTTCTTCAGGTATATAGCGGGCAAAAGGAAAACTCAGTGCAACATAGGGCCCCTGCAGGACAGATCAGGACAGTTGGTTGACGCAGGGGAAAAAAGCAGAGCTCTTCAATGAGTTCTCCGCTTCAGTATTTCTATGTACTGACCAAGCCAATTCCCCCACCTCGATAACTGATGGATGTCCACATGGCACCGGTCTGCCTATGGTTAGTTCTGAAATAGTTAAGGCGCTCCTGGAGGAGCTGGATGGGTACAAGTCAGCAGGCCCGGATGACCTCCATCCACGGCTGCTTAAAGAATTGGCCAGTGTCATAGCTGAGCCGCTGGCACAGCTGTTTGAGCGCTCGTGGTGCTCCGGTCAGGTCCCTGAGGACTGGAGAAGGGCCGATGTGGTGCCCATATTCAAGAAAGGGAGAAGGGATGAGCCGGGTAACTTTAGACCAGTCAGTCTTACCTCTATTCCTGGGCAAATGCAAGAGAAAATAATCAAAGAACACATTTGTGCAGGCCCAGCAGGGGAAACGATGCTGAGGGGAAACCAGCACGGGTTTGTCACAGGTAGATCCTGCCTGACAAACCTTGTAGCCTTCTATGACCAGGTCACACACTGCCTGGATG